TACATATATCCAAAATTCGTATTTGCTCAGAACATGGTGGAAGCAAAGCGTAAAAAGGGCATCGTTAAGCTTGGTGGCAGCGCAAATGATGAAACCATATTGAGTCCACGCCAAGGTAAGTTGCTCAAAGTCTTTTTGAAATGATTTCTAAGGCTATGGCCCCCTTTAATAGTTAAAACTATATTGGAAAGCGGCATTGATTTGCCCGGCAAAACGGAGACCATACACGATCTAAAATCCTTGTGCTTGGCGCTGCTGGACAACCTGAACGATAAGAATTTGGCATTGACGCATCAGAAGCGCACCAACAAGTTAGTAAAAAAGAACATAAATAAATATTACTCAAAAATTAAATAAAATGAAGCCTCTTTTTAGAATACTCGCTACCAAAATGGCGGAGCTGGAGCAGCGTTGGCAGCAGCTACTTAGCAGCGACTCCGAAAATACGGCATTGGAGAATGTGGAGGAGGAGGAGGAGGAGGAGCTGGGCTATGCACCGTCGCAGCTATTACTCAATGGCTACTGTGCAGCCATGGTCGATGATGTGGGTCCCGACGAGGTGGAAACAGCAGCAGTCAAACCAGCCGAAACGGCAAACACACCTTTATCCGAGCCATGCGATGCGAGAACGACGGGTGTGCTAGAATCGGATGATGGCATGTCCTCGCTATCCTCGGAGTCAGCCGACTCTTCGGTTTATGGCATCGACGTGCGACTGAATGAGCTGGCGGTTAATACGAATAAATCGACGTCGCCTACAACTGACTCGGGCAATTATAATGGCACACCGCGAGTTTCTAGCGCTGTGGTTAGGGAGCGCAAAGAAGACCTCAAAGATTTGCCTCCACATTTGGCAGAGCTGGTGCAGAAAGCACTCCATGAATTGGATATGAGGGACTACGAGGCAATGGTCACAATACGCGCTGAGAACGCGGCAAAAATGCATAAGTTGTAAACTAGTTGAATGTTATTTGTGTAATGCTTCCGTGCATACCTATTCATAATAAGCATATCGTGCTTATGCCGTTATACACAATACGAATTATAAACTACATACATATATTTATCTATTGTTTACAGCGTACAATAAACACATGTGTGCAGAAAAAATTTAGGGCGACAAATTTCTATTTATTCGATTTTCAAATATGAAAGCCGTTAATTTTTGACGCAGTTTTATAGCACAGTCGACTGGAGTTTGCGCGTTGTGCAACACTGCGCGTCTACTATAGTATACATTTTCTGATAAGAAATTTTTAGCTGTTGCCAATGTTATTTTCGTTTCGTTTAATTTTTGAATTAAAAATGCCTTAAAAGTGATTGCTGTTTGCGTCGACCATGTGAACTCAAGTGCCATTAAAATGTGGAAATGGAGCGCCAATCAAAAGCAAACGAAAAACGCGTAAAAAACGCAGCGCACACATAACCAACCGTCTGAGCCAGACCAATTAGTCAGGAAATAAGCAGCACACACAAAATCCAAACAGACAGACAAGTGGACTAAACACTTTATCAATGATGTCCAATGATGTGCAAATAGCGCGCGTTGCCAAGATTGGTGCGGATCTGGCGCGTCGTCAGCAGCAAAGGGATATCAAACCCATATCAAAGGGTGGTGGCGGCGGCGGAGGTGGCGGTGGTGTAATGGGCGATGACATTGAATTCGTCTTCGGCAGCATATCACCGCGCGGCGGAGGCGGTGTAGGCCAACACAGACATATTGTGGACTCCATTGAGCTAGACTCACCGGAGCATACGCAGCGGGACACGACCGAGAGCGACAACAACATATCCAGCTGCTCGACCCTCGACATTGTCAACAAAGTAAGTGACCGTTACGCAGACATGCACAGACATGATGTCAACAAAGTAAATACCGTTACATGGCTACGCAGCCAGACACGCACACAGGGATACACACGCACACACGTAGACACACAATACACACAGACTCACAGACACACGGACACAAACAGACACACACACACATGTTCGTTGCCGAATTGTCAACAAATTGTAAGTGACCGTTACATAGTTACACATACACACACACACGCACACGCATGTGTATGTACCGCGAGTGTGTGGATTTTTGACACTGCGCAGCTGCGTTGCAAGACACAGGGTCAAGCTGCAAGACGAAGTGCAGCAACAACGACGACGTAATCGCTGGCGAAAATTCGTTTATTTTCTTTTGGGTTTCTTTTCGATTTGATCATGATATCGGAAGAGCTGCTGCCGCGCAGCCTGAGCTGCCTGTGCTGCAGTGACACGCCTCTTGGTGGAAGCAGCGGGGGCGGGGGATTCTTTCAAAATGCCGAGAAGCGACGCAGTTGGGAATATACGCTGATGGCACAGCCCATGTCACGGCGGCCCATCAATGTGAAAACTGAAAATCGATTTCATTTCGCCTCTCCACTAATCTCTGGCTTCCTCTCTTGCAGGTGGAGCAGTTGTCGGTGCAGCAGCTGGAGAATCGAGTGCGCGAGCTGTCGCAGCGCCTGCAACAGACTGAGCGCCAGCTCGCTGAGAGCAATGCGGAGCGTGAGATGTGTCACAAGCGCCTAGAGGTGGTTAGCCAGGCCCATGAATGCCGCATCACCGAGATGCACTGCGTCATTGCAGAGCTTAGCAAGAAATTGCGCAGCAAACAGGAGCATATCATAATGGAGGAGCAGGAGCCGGAGGGCGAGGGCAGCGGTAAGTCCCAATGAATGCATTTCATAGACTCAATATATAAATCAATTTCAACAGAGGTCAGCTACCAGGAGGGCTCCATATACGATTCGGAACTGAATCTAACCAATGCGGATGGCGAGTGTCAAACGGAGCCATTGGAGGATTTCGAAGGTGCCGGTTCCAGCGCCGAGAATGCCCACATCAAGCAACAAGATGCCATTAGCAAGGGGCAGCTGGAGGCGCTGCAGGAGGAGGTGTTGCATCTGCGTGCACAGATAGCGTTGCTGCAGGCCGAGTTGGCCACCAAGGACAAGGACTCAGCCGTCGTGGAGGATCAACCCAATGTCATATACTTTGCCTGCGATATGGAGGCCAATGAGAATGGCAACCAACTCAATGATTTGAATGGTACGTCCAGGCAACTCTTGCGTAAGCCTTACGCTACTAGCCTACGAATAACCAAATCCTTGCAGCCTGCGTATCCGTAACCAGCCCGCAGAAGTGCGTCAAAATGGCCGAGCGCGTGAAGCTGCGTTGCGCCAGCAAAAGTGAATCGCAGCTGGATGCCTCGCCTGACCCGGAGAAAGATCACACAGAGCTCAGCAATGAGGTAAGCTAGCAGCCAACAGCAACTGATCTATGCACAGTCTTTACACTCTGCCCTCCACCTGCAACAGGACATCAATCTTGTCGAGCATTTGGTTTGCAAGCAGAACACTTTGATGGATACTTTGATGGCGCCCCTGCAACTGGAGCTGGAGCGAGTGCAGCGCCAGCTGGAGCAAATGAAAGTGCGCAACACATTGCTCTCGCTCACCTTGGATGAGTCCAAGGAGCACACCGAGCATCTCTATCTACTCTGCGGCAAATACGAATCGAACGCTGTGGCCCTGCAGCTGGCGCTCAACTGCAGCGATCGCGCCATTGAGGCTTACGATGTGATGCTGGCACTGCTGGAGAGCAGGTGGGTATATCACATAAGTTAGTTGAGTGATTGTTTGATTGAATGATTGTCATGCAGGTTGGCCTTGCTGAACGATAAATCCGCTGCCGCCGAGGAGAGTCGGCGAGCCGTGGAAACAGTGGCGCATCATCTGCTAGCCCGACTGGAGAGCGAGAAGGATCTGTGCGAGAATAGCTTGGGGCCGTGGCAGCACAACATGAATCTGGGTGTGGAAAATGTGCCCAAGCACAAGCAGCAATGGTCGAGCGACGATGATAATCGTCTGCGTTGTCATGTCTCAAAGCTGAAGGGTCGACGCTCCGTGGTGCAGCAGACCATAGTCAATCTGGAGTCGCCGTTCTGTGATGTGTTTGAGAAGAAGCGTTTGGCCTTGGAGAAGGATCAGGAGCTAGACAAGGAGAAGCACTCGCCCATGGATCTGGAGATGGCTGTCATCATGCAGGAGCTGCTGGACTTGCGCGAGCAAAACCAACAGTTGAAGGCCAAAAAGGAGGAGGCCGAGCAAGAGCAGCAGTACGCGAATGAGCGTGTGAGCATTCTCCATGAAGCACTGAAGCAACTGCAGGCCAACAATCGAGTGTCCTACTCGGAGGCGGAGCAAGCGGCGCTCACCGAGCAGCAGCTGGTCGAGGCGCTCAGCCGGGAGGCGGAGCTAAAGAGTCGCATCCAGACCCTGCTAAGCATCAATGCCGCACACAAGACCAACGACGAGAAGTGCGAGCAAATGCATCAGAACTTTCGGCAACTGCAAAAATCCAACGAGTAAGTGTAGAAGTAGCAGATATCCAGTGTATAGATTTAACCAAGACTCTTCCTCCTTACCAGCAATCTGAGCCAGCTGCTGGAACAGAGCAAACGCAAATATCAGATGCGCATGAAAAAACTGGAGCAGAAGGTCGCCGACATGCGGCTGGAGCAGGAGCAGCTACTGCTGATGCAGCAGGGGCACAGGTTGCCACACTCGGAACATGTTCCTGAGACAACGCTGTAGATGTTGACAGCGAATCCTTTAACTGTTTGCTTGGCTTTTTGGTTAATCAATGCACGGGAGCGATGAAGCGCGCATGCCCGCCACATATCCTGCTAATTGCTATGGTTCCTTTATATGCTGCACCTTTTCCTTTCGATCCGCTACTACTGCTGCTGCTCCCACCTCGCGCTCCTGGGCGAGCCATAAGCCATAGATAGTATCACAAATGTGCCATACACGACTACAACTGAGGACAGCGAATGGAAGCTGTATTAACTACAATTGCATAATCTCGAATCTAGATCTAGACACACACACACACAAACACACGAATCCTATATTTATACAAAGTATTCGCATTTTGCTTGTTATACGACTCAATATATATAGAGAGATATATGTATGTATATTTAATTCAAATTGTACAAATTATAGTAAACAAAAACTACAGCGAGACTATGAATCATTTGAGCCCTCGCCCCCATCTTGATTAGTAGCCTCCACAGCAGGAGCTTCCACACTAGGAGCCTCCACAGCAGGAGGCTCCTTCTCTTCCTCCTCCTCTTTCATATCACCATTGCTATCGTGGGCCTTGCTCTCCTCCTCCTTTGTGGCATGGCCATTCGTTTGCTCTGCTTCTACGCTAGGTGGCGCCAGCTGCGCGAGTTGCTCGCGCGCCGCTTTTATGACTTTTTCTAGCTCAACACACTCGGTCTCAATTTCATAGTTTTTTGATACGAGAAGCACCCAGTGTGCCTCTAGAGCACGCAGCTTTTCACCGGCCTGTGTTTGCGCCTGTTTACGTTGCCAATTGATGTCCTGCATGTCCTTTTTCAGCTGCTGCAACTGTAGCTGGGCTTTGGCCTGCATGGCTGTGAATACTTCCAGATACGATTTCCAGGCTTCGGTGCCATAATCTAGCATTAGCTCAAGATTCAACGAACGCACCCACTGATGTTCCAGCTGTGCCATGGAGTTCTCAATCGACTCTTGCCAGGCAGAAACCTCAGACAGCTTGCCAGAGGGTGGAGGCGGCAGTTCGTAGCGCTTCATGGAGAGCGTTTCCATGGGCAAACGATTTTGTATCCGCTCAAATTCATTAATCATCAATGGCGTCTCGAATGGTGATGATGCTGGCAGGGGCAGATGGTCTAGATAGTTCTTGGTTGGCCGATAGCGCCGGCATTCCTCCTCTACCATGGCTAGCGCCTCAAAATGGAAACGAATTGTTAGCATAACAAAAAAAAGTGAGCATAAAACACTTTAATTACCGATTCTCGGACGCCCACGTCATCATAGCCATGATCTATGTAAGGCAAAGCATCAACAATAACTTCATCGGCCATTTGTTTCAGTAATTATAAAAACGAAATTATTTTTGGTAAAAACGCAACACACAATATTTTGTTTTTATTTATATAGTGCTGTAAAACGTCCATAATACTCGATAGGCATATATCGTATTTTAAAGAGAAATTATTTGACAGTCCAACAGCCATGTTGTCAGAAATGCAACCATGGCCTCGGAAAAACGAGTTGGCAGCACTTTTAGGTCGTTTCCGGCAGCTCTCTTTCTTTCTTCGTTCTTCTTATTAAATAGAGGACGGCATCTGCGTTTGCAGAAAAATTAAAACCATTTATTGGGATTAAAAATCAGCGAAAATGGTGAGCAAATGTGTTTGAGTGTCGTCCGTGCCACCGTATACTGCAAAAACGGTCATTTTACAGAGTTAAAACGTGAAAAACACTAAACATTATGCCCGAAAACTTCGTCCTAACCTCCACGTGTTAACAGTGTGCGTCGGCCGCGCGACTATTGTAATGTCAATTTAATGTAATTCATTTGTAATGCTTGCAGAGCTTAGGCAATGCTAGGCCATTGGTCTCCGTGTACACGGAAAAGAATGAGGCAGTTAAGGAGAAGAACATCTGCCTGCCCGCCGTATTCAAGGCACCCATTCGTCCGGATGTGGTCAACGAAGTGCACCAGCTGATGCGCCGCAACAACCGTCAGGCCTATGCCGTCAGCGAACTGGCTGGTAAGTGCAATTTTTTGTTTCTTGTTTGTTTGTAAACAAATTAAAACCAGTTTATCTATTTTATCATACAATCAGGTCACCAGACTTCTGCCGAGTCCTGGGGTACTGGACGTGCTGTTGCACGTATTCCCCGTGTCCGTGGTGGCGGTACTCACCGCTCCGGTCAGGGTGCCTTCGGTAACATGTGCCGTGGTGGTCGCATGTTCGCACCAACCAAGACCTTCCGTCGCTGGCACCGCAAGGTGAATGTAAACCAGCGCCGTTATGCTTTGGTGTCCGCTATCGCCGCCTCCGGTGTACCCGCATTGGTGCAGTCGAAGGGGCACATCATCGATGGCGTTTCCGAATTCCCATTGGTCGTGTCCGATGAGGTCCAGAAGCTGCAGAAAACCAAGCAGGCCGTCGTCTTCTTACGTCGCATGAAGATCTGGGCGGATATCCAGAAGGTTTGTACGCAATATTATCGTTAATTGTTCTCATATACGCAACGTATTCCTGGGCGGAATCATATAGATATTGTATTTTTCCGTTACTCCAGCACCTCAAGCAATAATGCGTTGCTAAATAAACTGCCCTCCTAGGCGTTACGATTGCAGCCTGATTCCAAGGTGCCATCGTTTGCAGTGGAGGGCCACAGCTGCATCAATTTACATTGAATTATTTATACTAAATGTGTAAAACTCATTGCAGGTGTACAAGTCGCAGCGCTTCCGTGCTGGCCGTGGTACCATGCGCGACCGTCGCCGCATTGCCCGTCGTGGTCCTCTGGTTGTCTACGATAAGGATGAGGGTCTGCGCAAGGCCTTCCGCAATATCCCCGGCATTGAGACAATTAGTGTGGATAAACTGAACTTGCTGAAACTGGCTCCAGGCGGTCATGTTGGCCGTTTCGTCATCTGGACCGAGTCGGCATTCGCACGCCTGAACGATCTGTTCGGCACCTGGAAGAAGCCATCCACTCTGAAGAAGGGCTACAATCTGCCCCAGCCCAAGATGGCCAACACAGATCTGTCGCGCCTCTTGAAATCCGAGGAGATCCGCAAGGTGCTGCGTGACCCACGCAAGCAGGTGTTCCGTCGTGTGCGCCGCCTCAATCCTCTGTCCAACGTGCGTCAACTGATCAAGTTGAATCCCTATGCTGAGGTCCTCAAGCGTCGTGCTGCCCTGGCCGCTGAGAAGCGTACCGTGGCCAAGGTTCTAGCCAAGGCCAAGAAACAGAACGTCGAGCTGGCTAAGTCGCATTTCGCCAATGTCGCCACAAAGGCTGCTGCCAACCGCGCCAAGCTGTTGGCCGCCCGCAAGAAGAAGGTTGCCGCTAAGAAGCCTGCGGCCAAGAAGTAAACTTTCCACATAATAGCCGACTACAAAACTCTTTTTATATAATAAATAACAAAAGTTGTATGAATTTTATTCATAATACAGTGCGAAAGTAATATCTAATTAAACTATTTAGTCTTAGGCAATTTCAATTGTTGCTCTTATTGATGCCGCGTGTTTACCGCTCGTTGGCTCCCCCCCTCACTCCCACACCTTGCTGACGCTTATCTTCAAAAAGAGAGTGTTGTTCGGGCTGCCTCGGAAAGCTACATAATCTTGGCCGCTCTTTCCGCTACGTCATGTGTGGCTCTCAGTTTTGCTCGCTAGTCGCGATGCTTCTTCTTCAAAGAGAGTATTTGATGTGTTGCCTGAGGCAACTTGCCTCTCTCTTTTGGGTAGTCTCTCCTACCAGCTGATAACATTCAGTCAGTAGTTGCCTATCGATGCTCTTATCGGCAGAACTTGTGTCATTCGTGAATTGTTGCTGGTGATCTTCGGCTTGCGCTTAGTTTATATACATATGTATTTGTTATATGTTGTTTTTTATATGTTTCCATCCACTTTTGTTGTCACACGTTAATTGGCATTTAATTAAAGAGCAACGATTGCAAGCGTGTTTATTCCGAATTGCGCGCTCGAGCCGAGCGGACGTATCATCTGCGCGTTCTGTGCCCTACCTTTTGAAAAAAAAAAAACAAAATAAAAAGAACACAAAGAATTAAAAAACAATTCACCACCAATAACAAAGGAAGCCGGCAACAACGACAAATCCGTTGCAATTACCCCACACAAGGGAATAAGAAGTGTCTGTGCCAAAATAGAACAAAAACAATTGTTCGGTTTTTTATTGCACACTCGAAATATAAATAAAAAACACACACACAAGTATACAAATTAATAAAATAGCACAAATCAAAGAACGATAATAAAGCGTGAATTATCAAGATTGATGCAAATAAAACGAAAAATTGGAATAAATCAAAACGCGCAGAATCCAAATCATACGATACTTTAATAAAATTCACAACGCTGTCTCGTGAATTACGGGTCGCGACATCGACGATGATGTCTGGTTATGTAGAGTAGAACGCAGTATATGGCCAGAGCACACAAGCGCACAGGGAATAGGCGAACGGAGCGGGACGCATCTGTATACAGCAGCACGTAAACACTGACAGACATAGTGAGAGCAGGAGGCGCTCTTTCCATGCGCGTCGTATTTTTCCGCAAAGATTGCGGACAGTCAAGGCAAAGTACATATCAGCCAGCAACATCAACTTTATATCAGTGCCACTACTGCTGGGTGTCATCATAATTGCGGGCCGCCATTACAAAAGGCCACGCACTTTGGACGCCAAAGTTTGAATATTTTACTTTGTTCATCATGTTGACGTCTGTTTTAAACTTCGCTCAATGTGTGGCGGAAATTTCCTTGCTTGGCGGCATCGAAATCGCATCAGTGGCACTTATTGTGTACTACGTTTTTGCTAAAACTCGGTAAGTTAAACTAACATAGGGCATGGGAAGCAAGAGAAGTCATCTGGTGATGGCGTCGTCAGTGGTTCTGCCGGCAACAATAGACAACAGCATCTGTCAAGTTCAATTAATGACGCCGACAGCCAGCTGTACATACAGAACGCATCAGTATGCATGCAGCATGCACTAACAGAAACACACATACATATGTATACATACCTAAATACAGTAGTGGCTACTAAATTGGTACGCCTCTGTTTAAGCTGTGGTTGCGTTTTTCAAAAATATTTACAAAATCTAAGTGAAAGCTTACCAGATGAAGACGATTATATTGGACTTATGCAATCTGTCATTTTCATTAAGCTTTAGTCATATACTTTGAATGAGCTGTTCTTATCTGCAATCAGATAAAGATGAAGACAAATACCAGATATATTTATAATTCTTGCATACTTTGCATTTCTATAGAAGTTAAAATTGTAAATAAATCTCCGTACGTTAATTGCGTAAATTTCCTTATCACCAGCTATCGTTCACCTACTCGATTAAAAAGTGGTTCGATAAATAAATTTAAAAATGACAAAGTTGTAATCTTAAAGTAAAAAAGCTTTCCTTAAAAACAAATCAATGCAAATTTGTCTTACTGCAATAGATGCATGCATGTATTTACATGTGTATTTATGTATGCATGTATGCGTATAAATTGGTTTTGAAAAGCTTTGTTATATTTAGACACACACACACATGTACATTCAGGTATACAAAGAAAACACTTAAAAATCGCGTAGTAAACCGATCGTTCAGTGTTGTTGCTGTGACGCGTAAGTTATGCAGCGCATTCGAAACGAGCTTTTAAATTTGGTTCGCCAAATCTACATACATACATATGTGTGTAAACGTGTCATTTTGGGTAAGTGACGCATTGCACTTATCGAGCACGTGGCGTGGCCAAAGGAAGAACAGCCGATAGTCAATAGTCTGCCGATAGTGTCAGTAGTCTAAGGATGCACAAAGGTCATTTGCATGCAAGTGCATTCGCCCACTGCTGACGCAATATTCAATGTATTTGTATTTCGGCTTGCATGCTCTCACACCTGTGCTCGCTCTCTTTCTCTCCCTCTGCCTACCACAGCTCTCCCGTGCGATCATTCTCTTCTAAGTGTTGTTGTGATAACACTCACTGTTGTGATAGCACTCGTTCGATCGTTTGGCAACAATTATCATAATTGAAAATCTCCTCTCTCTATATGTATGTGTGTTCTGTAAATAAATATTAAATGACCAGCTAATTATCTGATTAAGTTTTTGCTATTGTTATTTCGAGTGCACCCCTTAATCACTCCGTTAAGCTAATCTCAATCAGCTACTTCATAGAGGAGCAAAGCTCAATTCATAATTTGAGCTGATTGATGTTTGCCTCAGTTCGAATTATAAACCCATAAACGATAAAAACCGCAATAAACAGAATGACTATGCCATGAGCTCATAAACAAGCACATGCAAATGCAATAAATACTAGCTAATAAAACACTTACTCTTTATAGCCAATATTAGCATTTACATATTTTTATTTTCATATTTTGTATATGCCAAATTTGATTTAAAGTACATTTTAAATATAAAGAACGTTCTGAATTGAAATCGACTGATGTTGAAATTACCGCTTCCAAGTCTTAAGTAATCCTAATCTGATGGGGCTCTTATTTCGTATTATCATATACATAATACGTAAATACTGATATATATGCATATATAAATACATACACATACGCATATATATATATATGTTTATTGTTTATGTGTAGTCGAGCTAAAGCTTGAAACTAAGAAAAAACTTTCCATAACACGAGTAGCTGAAACAAATAAATTTTTGAGTAATCTGATTTCCTATAGCAGAACATTATTAGCTTAAATACTTGTTTAAACTATTAATACGATATGGTATTTATTTTTCATTTTAAACATCTAATTTTTAGTGTAGTTGAACTAAGGTGAGAATTTAAATGGTTTTTTTATACTAAGATATGAAAATTCATTAAATTTTTAGACTTCATATACTCTTTTCTTGTGTTTTTTGTTACCAAATGAGTGAGTATTTATCTCACGGACTTTTAACACTATTTCTAGAGTCTCGTCTTTTAGATCTCTTAAGCTTCGCGCGTTGGGATATTGTTAAGGTTGCCTGCGAGAGCAGGTTTTCGAATTTCTCCATGTGAGCGCTTTCATTCATGTCAGTGTCATCCGTGAGTGTGGTGTCGTCAGTGGCGCTAAGGGAGGGCGTCCGTGGGCGGTTAATCATGCGCGATGTGCTCGATATATCAGAAGAGCTGTAACTTGCATTACCAGGAAGCTTCTCGTCGTTCCTTTCGTAATAGTCGATGTAGTTACGTAACTCTGTGATGCGTCGCATTTCGTTGTCATTTTGCTCCCGCAATTGAGCTTCCAGCTTTAGGTAGCCCTGCAGCTTGCGTTTTTTCTTTGGCAATTGCGCCTGATTATTGTAATAATTAGCATAGTACGAGTTACGTTGATCACTTTGGAATTGGCTAATACTCCGATACATTTTCAAAAATATGCTGGGATTGGTAAAATAGTTGGCAGCATGGGTTGGCATTGAGCTTGTAATGGCTACGCTACTAAAGCAACGATTGCAGACGGGACACTTTCGTTCGCCATTTGTTGAAATGGGCGCGCAGTTAGCGCAGATTATATGATGACAGCGAGTAAGCAGATATTCTGTACCTGGTGCAGCCTCCCGTTTTTTAAAACAACGATTGCAATGTACAGGAAACATTTTCAGTATATTTTCACAAATAACGGTTTCTCATTTATCTATCTGGCAACATAGTTTCGATAGTGTAGTCGATATTCACCAGATGATGAACGTCCTTGCCACTTTTTTGCTCTTACATATAATTTGTATTAGCGTATATGTATGCATGTGTATGTGTATACATATATTATACAGTAAAAGTTTCTTTGCACACAATTCAATTAGCTTTGTTTTTGTGGGCAACTAATTACTTATCAGGCAATCGTACATGTATGAATGTATATAATCTAGGTTAGTGAACTTTATAAAATACATACGTACGTTCAGCTGTATATAGCAAATTGGACTACAGACTATATGAGGTGCTTTCAGTGGGGCAATCGTACTTTTTATTGCGCACTATTGAATATAATAGCAGTAACTATTTACTAATTTTAACATAACATGCAGTAGTCAAAAGTCAAAAACTATTTTCCAATAGTAGACATATGATAGTCTTAAGTATTGTTTGAATTTATTTGTTTGCAGAGCACCCGCTATCATCGCCCGTTTATTTCCCAATTTAAATCTAAGCTATCGTTCATCGCTGGGAAAGTTCAACACCATTGGCAATGAGATTTTATTTACGCTCCGTCCAAATGTAAGTCTACAACGCTTATCAAATCGCATATGCATTCATTAACTTTAGAGCACGCAATGAAATACATGTGTACACACCTATGTATGTATGTGTGGATGTGTGGACAGTGAAATGCGAGCTGATAAGCTCTTCATTCAGTAAATCACACAGCGTACACATGCAAACATTACATGTGGCGCCATTCGAAAATTCCGTGGAGTTGCCATCTTTGTTGTTGTGCGAATCGATATAATTTGCAATCGATATTCATTTGTAAAGCTAGACGAAAGCTATCGCTCAACGCATTCAGTTGCCGGCGCTTTATTGAATGAAATGCGAATTTTTAATACTGAAGCAAATCACAAACATACATACATATAAACGAACTTTTTAGTTTTAATTAAAATGAATGAGTTTAGGGCGCGTGGTTGGTTTGAGGTAAGTCTTGTTCTTGATTCGAATGGGTAGACGGATTGTATTACGTATTTTTGCATTTGCGCGGGCGAATTGCATCACATGTATCCATACATATATATTTACTAGAATTTGACATTGTTATGCTTATGCAGGAACCAAAACCGCAAAACTTTCTGGAGCATGGCATCGGCACTCGGAATATGCTAGAGCTGACGCCTCATGCTGGAGTAAAGCCGTTCAAAAGCGTTTTCGACTGGGGTAATGTATTGCCCTATGTGGCTCAGGTGGTGCGAAGTGAGAAATTTGATTACCGCCAGGTGAGTGCATGGTGTACATAATAATTTGAGTTAACCTCTCATCCTCTATGTTGCGCAGGTCACGGACATTGTTCACAATGATGCCGTCTTTAAGCATGCCATTAAACAGGCAGCCGAACAAGCTCTGCGTGAAGAACGCTATGCCAAAAATGGACACCGACTGCTTGCTCGCAGCATTAGCGGCGATAAGGATGAGGAGCAAGACGAAAAGGAGGGTATATCGTATCAAAAGATACTGCATAAACAAGAGCAACGCGCCATCACAATACTCAAGGAAATGGGTTCCACTTTGAACAATACCTTGCTTGCCATAACCTCTTGGCTGCTCTACAAACTGCTGCCCTGCTTCCTATCTGGCGTTGTGACCAATACGAAACAAATCGAAATGTTGCAGAATGCCTCGAAACGCTCGCCAGACACACCGCTGATCTTTGTGCCACTACATCGCAGTCACTTGGACTACATAATGGTGACTTTTATACTGACCAACAATGATATTCGAAGTCCACTCGTTGCCGCAGGAAACAATCTCCAGATACCAGTTTTTGGCACTCTATTGCGTGGCCTAGGCGCCTTCTTTATTAAGCGCAAAATCGATCCCGTCGAGGGCAAGAAAGATGTGCTTTATCGTGCAGCTCTACATTTGTATATAACGCACGCTCTGAAACAGGGTCACAACGTTGAGTTCTTTATCGAGGGCGGACGAACGCGTACGGGCAAGCCTTGCATGCCCAAGGGCGGCATATTATCTGTGATTGTGAATGCCTTCATGGATGGCAGCATACCGGACGCCCTGCTGGTGCCGGTCTCTGTCAACTACGAGCGTCTGGTCGATGGTAATTTTGTGCGTGAACAGAAGGGCGAGAAAAAGGTGCCCGAGTCGTTCAGGAAGGCAATTTCCGGCATTTGGAAGGCCCTAAACTCCAACTATGGTCTGATGCGCATTGACTTCAATGAACCCTATTCAATACGCGAGCTCGTCAGCTCGTACAATAAAATTGCACGTGAAGATGGCAACTCAAAGGTGTATAAGCCTGCATCCAGGTAACAGAATATAATATATGCAGATATATATATATGTTTCAAATATGTTTTCTTTCGCCTACAGAACCCTGCAGCACAATCAATCAACGTCCTCATTGTACGGCACCGATGTCGTCTGTGAGGAACATCGCAATCTTATCGAAAGCATCTCACGCCAGGTAGTTTTTGACTGTGCTGCAGCCACGTCTGTGATGTCTACCAATGCTCTGGCCTTCTTGCTGCTCACACGTTTTCGCAATGGTGCCGAAGAGCAGCTAATTGCCGCTGCGCTTGATGATTTGCGTAATACACTGACTGGCTTCAAGGATTTGGGTTTCTCAGGCGAATCTGCGCACATTGTGGCTTATGCCTGTGATCTCCTGGGCACAGGTAGGCGATACTCTTGTCCATCACTCTATAGATTTTTTGTATATATATATTCAACATTTGTATAGGTTTGGTAACCCGCGTACGCGACGAGAATGGCCGCATGTTCATACGTGCCGTACCCACGGTGGAAAGTTTCATAGAGCTGTCGTACTACTCCAACATGCTAACGCCTCATTTTGCCCTAAGTTCCATTTTGTTGACTACATTTCATTCGCTCTTGCCAGAGGCCAAAGACGATGCTAAAGAAGCACCAGGTGTTTCGCAACGAAAACTAATTGAGACTGCTTTGGAGAATTGTCTTGTCTATCGTTACGAATTTATATTAAACAAGCCAACGCAAGTATTGGAGAATTTGCTGCATAAACAACTAGACGAGCTTCTTATCAATGGTTGTCTGCGCCGAAGTGAGGTAATGCATTATGAAACATACATATGAATTATATAGCCTAACGATTCAATTTATAGGTTCAAGATTCTGGTCATATGGCAGAGACGCAACGCTTAGCCCGTCGATTGGCCTGCGAATTGGATGAGAGTGACGACTATGATAATAATGATAGTGAAGACTATCTGCACGTATCGGAGGATTCCGATCTGCTGTTGCTGGCCCGAGAAACACTCGAACAGCAGCGCAACATTTGCGAGGTTTTGGCACCATTTGCCGCCACATATTTGGCTGTCGCGCAGTCGCTGCAAATTCTCCACCGCAGCGCAATGCTGGAATCAGAATTTATCAGTTTTGTTATCAACGATATATCCAATAAAGTTACCCGCGGCAGCTGTGTATATGGTAAGAAGCACTGCTATAAAATTTGAGGCCCTAAGATAATAAACTAATTAATTTTCTTTCTAGCTGAAAGCATTTCGACTGACTCCGTGCGCAATTGCTTAAAGCTGTTTGAGAAATGGTCTGTGATTGAAGTGTGCAACCAGCGCGGCCTGCGTTTGATCTCGCTCAACACGCTTTACGAGATGTCGCGGGAGTCGCTGAACTCCATTGTCAAGAAAATTGAAGCCGTCGTTCCAAAGTTCAATGCGGTTCACTTTAGTCAGCAGAAACTGTTGAATGATCCGTCGCCAGTTTAACAATCTGCGTTTCCTTTTTTGATATATCATCGTTTTGTTCTACTTCTCCGCCTCCTTCTCTCTCGCGCTCGTTACAAAGTAGTTAATCCTACTTAAGATCAAAGTGCATACTCTTAGATTCTAAATTTCAGATGTAATATATATCTTTAGTTATGTTTTTTTTTCGTTCTTAGTTATATGAGTACGAGTTATGTCAATGCCAAAGAGCTGTCTACATTTTTACTGTAGGTCGGCTAAGCGACTAAAGCAAAAGTGGAACAAAATATGTATACATTCATATATACATATATGATATGTGCGAACATATGTATATATAAGCATATCTTTCTACGGGCAGTTGTCGAAGCAACTATATCAATACATAAATTTATATGTCTATATATAATGTGAACCAAATAATGAACTGATTTAATGATGAAATAAACATTTTTGAATACTACTGATTCCGTGCAATGCCATTTGCGTTTATTCTTTCCAAAAATTATTTCAAAAACATTTAAATATACATTTTTCATGAGTCTTAACTGTCCTACAACGTTCATACTTAATCATAACAAACAATAAATTATATATGTAAATATAGAAGCGTCCATAGTCCGGCGTTATTGAATGAGTTGTGTATAAAAAATTTAATAAAAAAGATAGTAAGCAACAAATATGCCGTAAGTGTATATATATATATAATATAATCTATAATCATGTCTATTAAACTACGGTTCCGGCACGGCAGAGGCAGCAGCCTCAGCAGCAGTAGTAGTTGCAGCAGCAGTTGTAGTTGTAGCCTCTGCAGCATCCGCTGTTGATTCCGTTGGAGGCACAGCATCTGCACTGATCTGCTTGGTTTTGGCCCTCTTAACTGTTTTCTTCTTGGACGAGCTGACATTAATGCGAATGCCTTTCTGTCTTGCCAATTGCTTCAGTTTCGTGTCCTGCGTAGGGATATTGTTACATATAGATATTGATTAATTGAATTTGAAGCATTGCTTACCTTCATCTCTTCCTCCTTTAGTTTGCCACCAATCTCGCCGGAACAACGCTTGGCGCCGCAGAAGCAAGCCTTCTTGCCATTGTTCATCAGATCATCCCATAGATAATTGAACGTGAGCTCAGTATTCTGCAATGATAATGAAATTGAAATGGGTTTCTTCTGTCTTCATCATATTCCTTACCTCTGGTATGTCCTTGATGGCGAAGAGACCCACGCGATTATTACAATTCACTGTCCACTTTTGGGTCGCACAGTTCGGCTCACAGGAATGATTCATGAAGCGAGCCAGATTTCCCTTGGGACCCGCATCAATGATGAAATCTTTCTCTACGCCCAGGAAATAAAAGTTCTCATCCCGATTCTTCGTCTTTTGGGCCATGCGACGCTGGAATTCGGCGTGATTGATGACCTCGCCGACATACTCGATGATGAAATCGCCTTCCTTAATAGGCTCACGGCAGACCAGGCCAAAGCCGCGTTCGTTCATGTAGACGACCTCCAGGCGTGGCGACTTGCGCAGCTCAAACAATTGATTCTCGCATCGGGTGCCCGCATGACAGTAATCCGGATGGCATTCGT